GCGCGGCTTCAAGGCGGCGTTAGTGACGCGCTCTGGTCCACTCGCTGGAGGTCAAGCACCCGCACATGCGCTGAGAAAACACTGCGGTCGCGCCACGGCCCACGCCGCCGCCGCTACCGCTGCCACCGGCGCCACCGCCGCGGCCGCCGCCGCCGCCGCCGCCGCGACCAACGCCACCGGCGACCCCAATGTCGCACAAGCCGACAGTCCATGCAAACGAGAAAGCGCGCAATCTGCGCCGGCCAGCACTGACCCGTGCGAATCAGCGCCATGGAGCGCAGATCGGGACACCCGATGTCCCGCTGACGAGGGGGGGAGGAGGGGGGGGGGGGGCGATGCCAGCGCTTTCCATCTGTCGGTGTCGCGCCGACACAGCTGGGCTGCGGCCAAGGGTTCGGCAGGTGGAGTGATATCGAGATGGAGATCAGCGCGACGGTGAGATGTCGGACACCCGCGCAGGTTGTCTGGGGCGACGTCTGATAGGTTGGGAATCTTTTGAGGTCGTGATTAGGCACGCAAGTTTTGACGATAAGACGCCGCGTGCTCCATTTCAACCGGCGCAGCAGAGAAAAGTACACACGTTTCTCAAAATAACACGGGTTCACAGAACATGGGCTCTGCTAGCAGGGGTGTAGTTTCCTATTTGGTTGGGGGGTGCGAGCTTTTAGGCTCCAGCTCTCCAACTTTGGGAAGGAGGCGGACCAAATCTGGGAAGCAACCTCTTTGTTGGCATATTTTGGGGCAGATGAAGTCATTTTTTAACTGTTTTAAGTAGTAGACTCGTAGTAGGAAGAAGAGGGGATAGCCCCCCCCCCCCCCCGGCAAACTTATTTAGTAAAGTTACGCCCCTGCTGGTATGTTGTCATAAACTGTGCAGCCGGGTACCTGGAAACACAGACGCGGTTACGAAAAAACAAGCGGCGATGACAACGCGGTTTTCAAGTCAATGATCTACACGCATCGACATTGGGATAACGTTGAGGCTACACGAAAAGTCAGGCACCAGCTACTCCCGCCCCCTCCCCAGTCAGGCCTATGCCTGGAAGATAGTCTGTCATCTGCCGATGATCCGGTATATGGCTCGGTAGATAGTCTGGTACACCGAACTGCTGCCGTTGCGGTTGTTTTTTTTTGTTTTTATTTTTTATTGGCTTTGTAGGCTGCGGTCAATGAACGGGGCTTGTAGTCGCGAGAACGATAAACCGCCGCACTACAAGACACCAGACAGAAAATTTCGCGTCCGTCGTGTAAACAGCGTGTCGACTTCGGTTGCTCTCTTGGCGAGCCCGGCAATGACCGACGTGACACCCGCGTGCGGTCACGTGACATCACGAGCTGTCACGCCTCCGTTCGTGATCGGCATGAACTCGCAGTGAGTATACAACGATACCCGAACACTTCCCCAACTCCTGCGGTCCCCAAACCAGCTGTGAAAGCCAGTGCCGGGCTTTGCGAAAGCGGCGGTTGCTCGGAGCGCACCGCCCGTGCCGCGATGGCGCGCACCGGCCGCCCAAATGACCTTTGACCCCAGCCGTGGGATGGGTCAGAGGTCACATGCAAGTGAACGCCAATGGCGCCGCAATGAACGACCAGACCGGCACTTGATCGACCCACCGAACTATTACGACACTATAAATTGAATGTGAAGGCTGCGTGGAGGTGATTGCCCGCTATTTGGCCCAGCCTGGCGTTGATAGTGGTTGATGTCGTTAGCCAAGCTGACCGGACAGTTAAGCTGCTTTCTGGTGCCTTCTTAATGGCCAAAATCGCCCAATTAACCAACGCGCTCTTTAATGCGAATCAGGGTGGCTTCCTGGTAGTGGAGCTTTGTTCCACGAACCGTGGTAACTTTGTTAACGCCTCCAAGTTGATTACGCATCTCGCTCAGAACTGTCTGAAGCACGGCCTCATGACCGTTGACGCCGGCGAAGGCCGTCACTGCCCGCGCTCGTGCACCGAAGGCGGCAGTCAACTGCAACTTTACGCGGATAAACCATCGCAGAGTTTCGGCCAACAGGTCCGACACAGACACAGACACAACAGACACAGGTCCGAGCATACATGGTCAGGTGCAAGCGTGGTGTGCGCTGGGTTAGAATGTTTGTTGATAACAGGAATGAACGGAAGTGCACTTCCACTCCAGGCAGCTTTTAGACATGATCTGGCCGCGATGTTTTTTTTTGTTTTGTATTTTTAGCTTGAAGATACATGTGTGTGTCGAGAATACATGCACACAAGACGCACCGGCCGCGAAATGGAATAACGGCCGGTATGTCTCGTGTGCATATCGACTGCTATACGATGCACCAAGACGCCATCAATTTAGTAAAACAGCCGCTACGCCGCACAGCAAGAAGGAACTGTCGGCGGCAGCTTCCGTTTTCATTATTCCGACATCGCTGCTGCGAGCGAACGTGCGCGCATCACTCCGGCCGTGATACGAGTGACGTCACGTTGCAAGACGACGTCATAACAGTAACGTAAATTGGCGGACCGTGTAATGAAGCGCACTTAGCCGGCGCGACAGGCGGGCACCGGTGCGAACGGTCGGAACAGGATGGGTTTAAGCGGTGAAATGTGAGCGATCACGGAAACCACGACCACCGCAGTTGGACCTGACAGCCAGCGTTCGTGAACCATCGCTGCCGAGAACCGACACTGGGAAAGCCAAAACGAATATGCTAAAAGTTTTGGGAAGTACTGAAAGCGCGAGTTCATGAAGCGAAGCACTGAAACAGGGAATTCGGATGCTCCTGAGCATCAGGAATATCATATAAACTGTCCATGGTCATGTGTCCTGAGCTGCTTTGCTGGTTATCTCGACGTAAGCTCCGGGAAGCCTTTTGAAGCTCCGAGAAGTGTTTTTGAAATCTGAGAAAAGTTTTGAAGTTCCGAGAAGCATTTCGAAGTTTCGAGAAGCATTTTGAGGTTTCGAGAAGCATTTTGAAATTCCGGTGAAGGATTTTGAAGTTACGAGAAGCGTTTTTGAAGTTCCGAGAAACATTTTAAAGTTCCGAGAAACACTACTTCAGCTTCGAGAGGCTCTTTTTAGTTACAAGGAGCATCTTGATATCGGTGCTCCCAGATCGACGGCACCAAGAGAAAACCCCGACCTTGCGACACCGCGCATAATGAAACCTCCCACGCGAGCCACGCTGTGACAAACAGCGCCATACCATCAACACTCGCATGCATTGTTCGGAGGCCCGCGAGGGCAGTGAGCTGGCACCAGCGACGCTCCGAACTTTCATTGCATGATGATGATCAGCGGGGTCCTGACAGGGGAAAGCAATCAGTGCTGGTTGCGCTCGGATGGATGAGCGGTGGAGGATCTGGGGTCGGGAGGGTCCAAGTGGTTTTTTGATGATGTCAGCGCAAGAGTGACCCTCAGTGCACTGGGTGAGATAACGTGAATGCACGTTCAGATAGTTATCGTGATCGTCATACTAACGTTCGTCTGCAATGGCCTTAACACTCAGTTCTAGCTACTGGGCGCTGTGCGCGGGAATGCAGCATATGTCCTGTTGCTAATTTCCCGATTTACTACAGATCGATCATTTAGCAGCAGCGATTTGTACAAGTCCGGTTACGGTATGCAACACTAACGCGTCCTCCCAGTTGAACTCCGAAAAAGTTGTGCCAGGCGGGCCAATTGAAACATATCTTAGTAAATATTGAATTCCGCTATTTACTTAATCTCTCTCCTTTTCTCTCTCTCTTCTCTCTCTCTCTCTCTCTCCATCCTCTCTCTCTCTCTCTCTCTCTCTCTCTCATCTCTCTCTCTCTTCTCTCCTCTCTCTTCCTTTTCTCCTCTCTTCTCTCTTCTTTCTTCTTCTCTCTCTCTCTCTTCTCTCTCCCTCTCTCTCCCTCTCCCTCTCTCTTTCTGACTTGTTCCTTCCTTTTCATAATGTTCCCCTCCCGTTTTCCCTTTTTCTCTCTCCACCTCCGAAACATTCCCCACCCCAGAAGCCTGCAGTGTTCTCCAGTGTGAGCCCGCGCTGAGTTCAACGCTTCCAGGCCTCCAAAACATATCACTGTCGCCGCGACAGCCTTACGACCACTTACATATGCGCTCGTTTAGAGTGCCCCATCACTTTCCTGCCGTCCTTTGCCGCTAATGAATCGGGCTGCTTTGTTAACGTGAAATGTAGGCCGACGTACCACGTGAGCGTTAGCTCCCGGCTAATTTCAATCCGGCCGAGCCACCGTTCACGTTATTGCCGGCGCGCACGCAACGGTCAGACGAGTGTTGGAGGTCTTTCATTGGCTCCCCACTTGCGCACTTTTGGGTGTTAGGCTCTAGGCGTTTGTTTCGCAGCAGGGCAGCTGTAAGCTTTTACATGGAAGTGATGAGCTGGATAAAGGTGACTTTGGGTCGTCGGCTCCACGATGCCAGCTTGGCAAAACGCTGGCTATTTTGGAGGCATGATGCCACGCAGCGTGACCACACGGTGTCATCGGATGCCGCTGTGAACTTTGCTTTCATCTTGGCCTCGCTGCCATCGTTTTCAATCAACCTCTAACAAAAACAACGAACCATGCGATGCATTAAAATGGCTTCTAGACTTGGCTTCTAATGCACGATCTAGCATGAGTAAAATGTGTGTCTGACGTTTCACCTAGATATGTTCTCGTAGAACTGAGCATTATTTCGTGTCGTTGCGTACCTCTTCAACTGGTTTAGAGCTAGAAAAGCTCCTGCCAGTTGGCTACAATCGTAAGTTGTTCAGTGCATTAGCGAGGAACATCAGTCACACAGATAAGACAGTAGTATTAGCCTTATTCCTCGGAAAAACAGGGGAATGGAGATATATTTAGGTTGATATTTCGGCAACATGCCTTTCCCGAAACAATAGCAGAAGTGCTATATATCTTCTACTATTGTTTCGAGAAAGGCATGTCGCCGAAATATCAACCTAATCATATCTCCATCCTCCCATTTTTTCCAAGGAATCAGGCTAATACTACTGTCTTATCTGCGCGACTGCAGTCGTGTCGCATATCACCGTGTCCTTGTGCCGGTCGATCTCTGGTCGCCATCAACCGCAACTCCTCTGTTCGAGTCCCGACAACAAAAAGCGACCCAGAATGCACGTGACTCTTTGATTACATCTCTGGCAACAAGAAGCTGCAACCAATGTTTGGATGTGAACTGGCTAGCTGGCTGAGGAAATTTTCCGATAAGTCTTTTCCGGATTGGTTACAAATATCTCCGAACTGTTGCAGTTCATCACCTTTGGGCACTGTGGTGCTGGATGCCAGCACCGGGTGGGTTATACGGCGGAGCTGTAGCTGCCTGGCCAGCGCTCCAGCTGCCCACTGCACTTCGTTCCCTAGGCACTGCATGGGTGACGTTGAACATCATTTTAGACTACTGCAACACTCCACCAATTTATCTGGGATCATCCACGTTGTCGTCATCAGTGGGACTTGACGACGGCGCATTCAGTTATTGAGGCTTTGTGAGCTCGCTCGCTTCCACTCTGGCAGAAAGGGCGGACACCGCGGGGAATCGAACCCCGTGCATATGGATCCCGAGACTGGAATTATCCACCGGCCCAACGCAGCTCTCATAAAAACTTCGATGAGACGTCATATTGCTGTCTGTTTTGACGTCACAACTGTAGGTTCATGTCGCCCTCACTGTCTCTGTCGTCCGCACTGCGAGTCTGACGTCACCCTAACGCCTCATCTGACATCACATCGTCCGTCTCCTCTTCAGGTGCTGGTCGTCCTGACGTTGGTGGCCGGGTCACAGGGCTTCTTCCTTCACCTCTTCGGTCTGGGGAAGCGGCGGAACCGAGGTCACCGACCCAACAAAGGTCACCGAGGTCACGGCGGACGTCACAAAGGTCACGGACATGGCGGAGGAGGGGGAGGCGGTGGCTTTATCAAGGTGTTTCCGGTCACCTATGAAGCACCATCATCAGACTATGGCGCGCCATCATCAGACTATGGCGCACCCTCATCCGACTATGGCGCCCCATCCGTAGGTCATGGAGGTAAGCAGGAAGGAGCTGAACAGTATCAACAGCGAGGCCTTCTGGCTAGGCCCCGTTCTCAATAAACGGGAGTTTTTTTCTGATGGTGCGTCTGCACAGAACAGTGCAGGAGTCAGCACTACTTGTGCCTAAAGTCAGTAATCCTTCGGCAAAATAATATCAGATGCGCAGGCGGTATGATGCAAATGATTCGAAGTCAGCCTTAGCGAATCTTCCATCATATGTGTACACGAGGTTTATTTGCTTAAAACCGTCCTCAGAAACGTATTGCCGGGGCCTGAATCGATGTTGCACTAGTCTTTCTTCTTTGACATTTGGAGCGGTTTGTTATGCAAGAAAGGAAATACGTCATCGAAGGCCAATCATCATTGCTTGCCTGCCAGCTATCGCGTAGTATTAAGACTGTCCACTGTCTTACCATCCCCTGTTTCTGGGTTCGGCGACTCGTTTTGCGAAAATCATGAACTGTTACCTTTGCATGATCCCTGATCTTTATCGAAAGTTCCGAGAAAGTCTATGTGACCAATCTGTCAAAAGGAGTGTTATTCAATAACGAACTTCTTAAAATCCTCGTCATTTCATTGAAAGCAGGCGTGGCTGCAGCCAAAGCAAGCAAAGCGTATTTCCACTAATATCTCTTGTGTTGTTGTGACGTCATTTGATGCGGCTTACAGACATGCATGGCAGAGTATGTCAACTCACACAATAAGCGGAACCACGCATGAGCGCTGCTCAATCAGTTTTTTTGTGTGTAAATTTCAGACCTCGGTGGTGGCGGAGGAGGATATGGTGGAGGTGGAGGAAAAGGACACGGAGGAGGCGGAGGAGGACATGGCGGAGGTGGAGGAGGATATGATGGAGGTGGAGGCGGGCATGGAGGAGGAGGAGGGCACGATGGAGGAGGCGGAGGAGGACAACGGAGGAGGAGGAGGACACAGTGTAGGAGGCGGAGGAGGACATGGTGGAGGTGGAGGGAGGACACGGAGGAGGCGGAGGACACGATGGAGGAGGGCGGAGAGGATATGGTGGAGGTGGAGGAGGACACGGAGGAGGCGGAGGACACGATGGAGGAGGCGGAGGAGGATATGGTGGAGGTGGAGGAGGTCACGAAGGAGGCGGAGGACACGATGGAGGAGGCGGAGGAGGATATGGTGGAGGTGGAGGAGGACATGGAGGAGGCGGAGGACACGATGGAGGAGGCGGAGGAGGATATGGTGGAGGTGGAGGAGGTCACGAAGGAGGCGGAGGACACGATGGTGGAGGCGGAGGAGGAATATGGTGGAGGTGGAGGAGGACACGAAGGAGGCGGAGGTCACGATGGGGAGGCGGGAGGGGGATTATGGTGCGTGGAGGGGAGGACACAACGGTGGCGGAGGCGGAGGAGGGTATGGCGGAGGCGGTGTGAGGGCACGGACGAAGAAAGGCGGGAGGCGTCTTATGGTGGAGGTGGAGGAGGACACGGAGGAGGCGGAGTGACACGACGGAGGGGACGGAGGAGGATATGGTGGAGGGTGGAGGACACGGAGGAGGCGGAGGACACGATGAAGTAGGCGGAGGAGGATATAGTGGAGGTGGAGGAGGAGGAGGAGAGGAGGAGGAGGAGGGCACGGCGGTGGTGGAGGCGGAGAAGGATATGGCGGAGGTGGTGGAAGACACGGAGGAGGAGTGGGAGGAGGCGGAGGATACTCAGGTGGAGGAGGAGGAGGACATGGTGGAGGGGGAAGCGGCTTCTCAGGAAGTGGAGGAGGAGGATATGGTGGTGGTGGAGGAGGAGGACGGAGGACACGGAGGAGGAGGGGGAGGATATGATGGCGGCGGAGGAGGAGGCGGAGGATACTCAGGTGGAGGAGGAGGAGGACATGGTGGAGGGGGAAGCGGCTTCTCAGGAAGTGGAGGAGGAGGATATGGTGGTGGTGGAGGAGGAGGCGGAGGACACGGAGGAGGAGGGGGAGGATATGATGGCGGCGGAGGAGGAGGCGGAGGATACTCAGGTGGAGGAGGAGGAGGCCATAGTGGAGGGGGAAGCGGCTTCTCAGGAAGTGGAGGAGGAGGATATGGTGGTGGTGGAGGAGGAGGCGGAGGACACGAAGGAGGAAGCGGATATGGTGGAGGTGGAGGAGGGGGAGGTGGAGGATACGGAGCAGGAGGGGGAGGGTATGATGGCGGCGGAGGAGGAGGCGGGGGATACTCAGGTGAAGGAGGAGGAGGACACGGTGGAGGAGGAAGTGGCCTCTCAGGAAATGGGGGAGGAGGATATGGTGGAGACGGTGGAGGAGGATTCTCGGGAGGAGGAGGAGGAGGAAGCGGATATGGTGGAGGCGGCGGAGGTGGATACTCAGGAGGTGGAAGTGGAAGTGGATACTCAGGAGGTGGAGGTGGAGCCGATATCGTTGTAGGTGAGCTTGACCATATTGCTATGGAAAGCCTAGGTGGCATTGGTGAACCCAGTTTGCCTGGAAAATTTACGACTTGTTATGCAGTGGCCTCCTCACAGGTGGCTCTCATGGGGTTTTCCTGCAAAACTCAGCTGGCTTTTAGCACCATCACGCGTCATTAGCCCAACCGGATATTTGAGGAACCTTGAAAATACTCAATGACGCAGGTGGTCCACCACGCCACATCGCAACACTGACCACGACCTGATCTTGTCTCAGGGTACGGAACCGCGCCGGCCCCCTCCTCCGGCTACTCAGCGCCGGCTGGTGGCGACTTCACATCGCCGTCGGCCTCCTACGGCGCTCCGGTCAGCATGTACATTGTGCCGGCGCCCGATCTCAGCCAGGGGCCTACCGGCGGATACAGCGCCCCTAGCGGCCAACAGGTAAGTGGAGTTTCGTATAGTTGATGGGCGAGGTCACTAGTGTCAGTTGCTGGCGTGCGGTCATCAGACGTTGGGAATGTTCGCTGTTAGCTTAAATGTGTGCTTTTCGGATGTTCTCTCTTTTCCAATGAGCGATTTCGTGAGACTTCTGAAATAAATCGTAAATAGGTACAAATTCCTGGTCAACCCGATGGCGGAAAGTTTGTGTACATTGTGTACCTCACGCCGAAATGCTCCTGTTTTGTTGCAGGGGAGTGTGGGGCAGTCCTACGGCGCTCCGTCTGCAGGCGTTGGTCAATCCTACAGTGGCCCATCCCAGTCGGCAGGGCAGTCCTATGGCGCTCCGTCTGCAGGCGTTGGTCAATCCTACAGTGGCCCATCCCAGTCGGTAGGGCAGTCCTATGGCGCTCCGTCCGCAGGCGTTGGTCAATCCTACAGTGGTCCATCCCAGTCGGTAGGGCAGTCCTATGGCGCTCCGTCTGCAGGCGTTGGTCAATCCTACAGTGGCCCATCCCAGCCGATTGGGCAGTCCTATAGTGCTCCAGCGGTAGATGTTGGTCAGTCTTATAGTGCACCGTCTCAGTCAGCGGGACAATCCTACAGCGCACCATCCCAGCCAGCGGGACAATCATACAGCGCTCCATCCCAGCCAGGGGGACAATCCTACAGCGCACCATCTCAACCGGTGGGACAGTCATACAGCGCACCATCCCAGCCAGCGGGACAATCCTACAGCGCACCATCTCAGCCGGTGGGACAATCATACAGCGCACCGTCCCAGTCAGCGGGACCGTCCTACAGCGCACCATCCCAGCCAGCGGGACAATCCTACAGCGCACCATCCCAGCCAGCGGGACAATCCTACAGCGCTCCATCCCAGCCAGCGGGACAATCATACAGCGCTCCATCCCAGCCAGGGGGACAATCCTACAGCGCACCATCCCAGCCAGCGGGACAAACCTACAGCGCACCATCCCAAGCGAGTGATTCTCTCAGCAAGCCGCAGCTGGTCGGTGTAGTCTACAGTGGAGCGACGTCGCCGGCGGCCAACAACTACGTGGACGTGGGAGGGGGCTCCGGGGCCGGCCCGGGTCAGGAGTACTCCGCGCCTCAGCCCCAGCCGGCGACGGGCCCTAGCCAGGACTACAGCGTGCCGCTACAGCAGCAGGTGGGTGAGAACGCACACCGAAAGCCATGCTTATGATGTTATCCTTATGATGGCAAGCCATGTAACTAATGACATTAAGGATAGAGTCGAACAGCTTATTAATGTAATAACGATAATGATACAATGATAATTATTATACAAACATGATAATGATGTTGATGATGATGATCATGTAATGACGATGAACAACTGATAATATATCAGCGATATAATGCTCATTGCGTATGATGCAAAACGACATTCGTGATTAAATGAAATTATTCAAATAATGGTTGCCATGATAATGTGAAATAATGCAAACGATGATAATCATGAAAATGCCACACAACATGAATCATGGCAATCAAAATAATGTCAAATAGTGCGACTAATGAGATGAAGCTCAGGTGTATCTGGAGTGTCGCTTTTATATCCTGTCAGTTAAAAGTGTAGTTTCCGTGTGGTTTGAGTTGTGATGGGCTGTAGGGAGGGTAGGTTCAGTTTGCGGTGTGGTTTGAACAGGGATGAGGAGGGGTGGTGGAAAAATCGGGGTGTACTTAGGATGTATCTGAGATGGCATAGCATTACGACGTGTGCACGTTTGCGCGTTGCGCAGGTTTGCTTGCGCACGTTGGAACGTTTGAATGTCCCTGATAGGGGCCCTCACAGACCCGCGTAGTGCCTGCGTTTGCGACCATATCGTGAAAAGAGGAGTAGGATTTCGATGCCGAGACCGGCACGCGATGTTAAGTCGCCGAGTGATGCCTGGTCTGATACTGAGATAACGTAGCCGATACCACGAAACGTGTGCCTGCGCTGAGGACATCATAAACTGGTACAAGCATCGGCACAGCGACACCTTTGTTTCCGGGCTCGCGATCGTGCGTGACCCTGGGCTTTTATCCATAGGCGCGAACTTTTAGTTTGGATTACCATTGACAGGTAGCGTTACTGGCGTCCAACCTTCCTACCGCGCTCGCCCAGAACGACTACGGACCGCCGTCAGATGCCGTCAAAATACAGGTTTGTACCAGCCCCTGGCATGAGGAAGGGCTGTTGTAATGGTGAGAGAAAGGAGAGAAAGGTGACAGAGCAACCTCTGTGTCTATGGCAATCAAGCAAGGACTATCAATGGGCTGTCAAAGTTTGCCGTGTCTGAATGCTGAGTCTGTGCGATTTTTGTATTCGTTTCCAAAAAGATGCAATATATTTAGAGCGTGGAAACATTCGAAAACCGATGCCATCATGGGGAAATGTGTTCAGGCCAGTCTTGATATGTTCAACGCTGTGGTATAGCGCTGAGGGCAAGAAAGGTACTCGGAATGCATGCTGCCCAGCGGGTAGGTGGGAGATGGGCAGTTGGCAAAACAAAAAATGAGCCTCTCGATCATCCCGGAAGCCATGTATTTTTATGCTCGTGGCCATAAGCGTCACAATTATTCCTAACAACTTTTCGGTAACCCAAAAGAAGCACATAAAAATGCCATTTTTATTATTTCAGGCTCCGATCACCACGCAAATCGACAACACTTTAGTGCGAAACACGTTACCGAACATCGGCTTGGACGGAGCGCCACCTATCGGGGATGTTGGCGTCGCAACCTACCAGTGACGGCCGTATCAAGGTGAGGACGCCACCAGCCCCACAGTGCGCTCTGGCATCGACATACAGCAGCATGGGATTAAAACCTTGGTGAAAATGATGGACACCCATCATGCAAATATCTAGATATGAAGGTATCGGTTTTATGTTGAAATAAGGGTAGGTGGTCTGCTACCAGTAGCCGGCGCTAAGGGAAACGTGGGCAATTCAGCTCAGAAGGGGGATTTTGGGTCACTAGTCCCAAATAATTTAAAGCCATAACAGACACCGGATAACACACGCACATAGAAGAAGAACAAACGCACACATAAACTTTGTAACTTGCAAGACTAAGATGCTTGGGGCATGCGTGTTCCAAACACAACGAAGTCGTAAACTGTGACGACACTGGACATGCTGGCTAATAAATACGCTGCTAGTCAAATACTCTTTAACGTGCATTGTTTTATTTGAGGGCGTGATGATAATCATCTGTGTTGTGCTAATGGTCGTTTACTTAACAGAATTGTGGGTGCTTCATTTCAGTGCCGTGGCATAAACTGGTACGTCGGGTGCATTCTCCGTTAGAAAGTATTCCGCCCGTACGGGCCACCTCAAGCAGCGCGGAGTCGCCACCGTCACCATGGTTACCACGAGTGATGCTGCCCGAATCCGTCTCGAACAGTGTGGAGGCAAGATTGTCGGCTCCGGCGCCATGACTGCCAGTGATTTTCGAGCGGATTTGCCAGCAGATGATTGGCGGTCTGCTCTCGCGCGGTCGCAAAACATGCCGAGGTTATTATTGCCGTGCGCGCGTGCCCGACAGTCATTGCATGCCGATGAGACTGGAGATGGTTTGTGTTTGCCAACCATGTGTATCGAACTTATCGTGCTAATATTGATTAGAATGTTACCTGATTTGTGAGGCATGTGGGGAGCAGTGGGCTTTGTTTATGAATATGTTGTTGATGCCACCTCGATTTGGAAAACACTTTCCTGATATGGAGCATTGCATCACATCGCTGACGCAACCAGTAGTCTTGCTTTGATTCACGTGATTGCCTGTCTGTTTTTTTTTCTTGTCCTGAACTCAGAGTACCTCGTCAGAATTTCAGACATGCAATCCATGAAAATATGCTTTTTTATTATAAATATGTTAGGCTGTATGACGGAAAATTAAGCTGCCGTCACCAATTACTTTACCAACCTGCTTAGGCATGGATTTTGTTTAGACGGCGCCAAAGTAGCATTTTAATTGCGACACATAAATCCTACAAATTGTCCAGTCATGTGGTGTCGGAGGCCCCTTTTACCTGCGGCGAAACGTGCGTTTCTCCATTAAAGATACACTTTAGGCCTTTAAGCCAACTAAAGCAGCAGCTTCAAAAGTATGCTCCGAGCAGTTTTCAAAACCGTAGATGACGTTGTTACGTCCGGTATCATTTAATGCATGCTCTGACCTCAATACTAAACGCATTTGCAACGTCGCTTTTGCTGTCACCAGTGGTGCAATGTAGCCATACATGTCGAGGCCGCGTGCATTTTTCCGTTTATTTGTTGCAATAGCTGCGCTCTGACTAAGTTATAAACATTAATAGGTGTCCAAAATAACTGTATGTTGTTGAGAATACTACGTCTGCTGGGAGCAACGCGTGGTGCCAAGAATAATGCGGTTGTAGAGATGATGGCGTATTATTGAAGCATGCGTGCTTTCGAGACAAATGTGTGCTGAAGTTGGTGCTCCTTGTGTCTTTGTGTTTGGAAATGTGCTTGCTGGAAATCCTCGCGAAATACAGCTGCCGAAAGAGATGTGAAGAAGCGTATTGGCTGCGTCCATTGGCGCCCTAAGTTAGTCACATGTGATTAATGTGTAGCCCAAACGAGAAAGAAATCAAGCTATATGCGCCCAATACTAAATTTAGGACATACGGCTAGTATGAGGTATTAGTCATATGTCCTTACCCGACCGCAGCCAAATAAAAATGTTATGACTCTGTTGAAAAAGCGTCAACAGCTTATGAAAGGGCTCATGTTTTAGAGGATGGCGATGGTGAGCCTGACGTCCACCAAATGTCACTGTAGTTTCATCAAGTCCTTGGTCAGCTTATCTTGCCAAGGAGTGTATTTCTGCCCTGAGAACTTTTGCGAAAGGGAATCCGATGACATCCTCGATCTTTCCAGATACGCTCCCACTGATTTAAGATATCATTGGCACGTCCTAACAGCACGATCGGTATCGATTTATAAGTGACTCCATTGAGGTGGACAAAAAATCGATCCTGGTTGATAAATGTAGGATCAGTTAAAGCATGCTATGAGCTTGGATATGACCATGGATGTGTGGTATGCAGAGACGCAACCACGCGACAACCGTCAGAGAGGTCGATTCCGTTTGGTGGCATTTCTTATGGTTAAAAATGTTTCAACCTACTAAATGGCTACTGAGGCTCAGACCCTGCCGGTCGCACTGATGTGAAATGTGGTTTCATGACTAATTCAATGTTTGGCAAAGTTTAGAAGTGCTGACACTAAATACTGTAGCGGTATGAAGGAGATTGACATGAGAAGTCACAGCAACATTGAAATATAATTTCACCTTGCTTCCAGTCTCCATGATTTGTGATGGGTCTGTAGACTATTACAAACACCAATGTTTTGGTGACAGTTTAAAATCCAACGCTTACTTCTTATTTGCTGAAACTTAGTGTCCAGTTGGTGCCGCAGGAGATGAAATTTCTTCGTCACTCAGGTCACGTGAGTTCACCGTTTTACCGTGCTGCCAGATCTCTTTTCTGACGACAGAAGTTTTGCCATAATTCCGACGGTGTGCCTGATGGCGCCGACGGTCACTGTTTTACGTCAGTTCAAAAGAAGAAGCGACGCCGATTTGTTTGTGGACATGCCAGGTCAAGAGCATTACATCTCACGTGCCTCCTCAGCCTGGGGTTTTAGAATTGCTGAGATTTTTATTGCTGTTATGGAAATGAAAATGCTCCAGTGAAGATGAGTAGAAAAACTGAGTGGGAAAAAGTTGAGCAGAATTGCTGGCGTTTTGTTCAAAGATCATGGTGCGTTCCCTTGTTAGGGTGCCAATCTGGAAACATATTTTCGCTTGAAATGTGTTCAATGCCCGAACCCCAAACCGGTTTCAACGACCTCGGTCACAGCGATGCCCACGTTACGCACAGAAGATGAAAGTTCACTGCCTAGAAAAGGAGCTAGACTTGTTGGATAATCCAGGGAGAAAGGCCATTCTAATATAATCAAATGTTCGTTCAATCCGTGGCTGTCATGCCGTGTTATCACTCGTGGTATAAGTCGATATTCGAGTTATTCGCGGCATTCATGTGACCTCACGACTCTGCCCCCACATGTCTGGATCGGTGCGAGGTTACAGAGGGACTTCGCAAAAAAGAAGAAATGACAAGGAATGTAGATAAAGGACGCTGGCATCATGTCCCTATTGTACCTAACTTTATTTTTCCTTATCATGAGGCATTTCCATATCCTTATAAGTATCATTCAATCTAATGAAATGGTTCTCGTTTTCAACAAAATTACGTCATTGTCACATCTTCTTTAATCAGTGTCATTCATTTTCCATATTTGACTGTCCACGCTGTTCTGTTGCACATGACCGCGGGCAAACTGCACACTAAGGCGGCCGGACTTCGGCTGGCGCAAGCACCGTGAGCGAGTCGGCCGCTTCCAGCCCAGCAAGAAAGACGGCAATCACCCGAAAAGCCGCACCACCCGGAATTTCATCAAACACGTTTCCGATGCGAGAAGGTCTTTGTGGAGAGAGCTGAAATCGCATCGCGTTGGAGAAAGCAGCTTTGCTCGGCAACAGAGTCACAGAAACATCCAGAATGCCGAGGGAGTGCCTGAAGTGTTTTAAATCTATTGACGTGACGCAACGTGACCCATGTGACGCCACATAATTCACGCTAAATCCGTTCGGAACGAGTAGCTGCAGTCATTCATCCCACATTGTCCGGCTACGGGGCCTGTTGCCTCACCTGTTTCGCCGCCTTGACTTCTCTTGAGCGCCGCCTTGGGCATTCTATGAGGCCCGGCGCTTTTCTAAAAGCGGATCTAGCCAGACACCTGATTCAATTATTCAACAAAATCCACGTCAATATCAATCCCGCGCGCAATACAATCTCACAGGTCCCCGGCTGGCGAGTCTGCTGAATTATGGGAGCCATAGATTTGACGCCGCCTTCCAGAACCCGTGTCATAAACTGGAACGAAACGACGCCGATGCGTCCCGTTTATCCCGTGGCTCATTCCAGCGGCGCAAATCTCGACGACTTTGAGCCTAGCCTGCCTTTGCGAGACGTTAGTGAAAAGGTGGGTTGATTCAGGAATGCTGGGACTGAATGCTGGACACGGCGACGTCTCACAGAGGCTTCAGAGATATACATAACTCTTGTATGTTTGTGTATATATATATATATATATATATATATATATATATATATATATGTATGTATATCGACATTTTTCGGTGAAAAATTGCAGCGCTATTTCAACCCACATCAGTAACGACGAATAGCTCTTGCCATTACCTACCGCCGAAACAGTGATCGAGATATATGCATTACATGTGGGAGAGCTCACACCTAAGGCACTCCTTTACGCCTTTTGTACACCAAATTTTGTTTTTACGTGACGCCCCCTTTGAAGATGTGATGTTTTTCATCAGAGCGATTCATCTTCTCTCTCCCTCTCTCTGAGCCTCCTACCTGCATATCACGCTTTTTTCTCCACACTTTCTCCAACCTAACAAATGTTGCGTCGTTAGCCGAGTGGCCCAGCGATTTAAAGTAGATAGATACGGTTTAGTCCACCGATGCTTTTTTTGTCCGGATGTTGATAGATGGTTTGCCGATCTGGTATGTGGAGCCTTCCTGTCTCTCTGGCATAGCGAACACGTATCACGCTGCTTGTTTTACAAACAGTAGTTCGATCAGACGTACACGGCATTTTAGCGCTCTTTACTAAATCATGCTCATTGTGAATACGCCGAAGACGACACAAATTTTCACACTCCTGTCTTCCCCTCTTCAGGCCGTTCATAAGCTTTTTTGTCTTTGCTTGTACCAACCGATCCTTCAGGCTCACTCCCTCCGGTAAGATATGAGAGGTTGGCTGGGAAATACTTCCCCAAGTGTCTGAAGTGGTCCATGACGTGTTCTTTATTTTTGAGCAATTGTCTAATGTTGGGCAGATGGTTATAGAGAAGGTTTTGATGAACGGGACCAAGATTAACATTTTGACGCTCTTGCTCCGTCTATGCTGCAAAAAAAAAAATTGTTTACGCTTGGTTTTTTAACCATTGTTCAACTATGTTTAATTGCTCCTTGGTGATAGCCCGCTTTTGAAGCCTAGCTTTCAGATCTCACTATGTCGGATGCAGTCATTTTGACCGCTACAGCCTTTTTCAACCGCATAGCTGATCCTGATAGCACAGCCATTTTGGTGTGGTTAAGATGGTTTGATGAAAAATGTAGATAAGTTTTGCCGTTTGATGTCTTGAGAACACATCAGTTTGGATATGTCCAGCTTGTCTTACAATCACGTCTAAGAATTCCGTGATAGTTCTGGAAAACCCAAGGTCATCTCGAATTTTGGGTGTTTGTTGTTCGTAGCGCAATGATACCTTCCTAATGGCTCCTAAACATCAATCACAGATCTGGCCTCAAATTGTTGGCTTAACTTAGATATACCGATTATTTTTTGGCATTGCTGCGTGGTCACCTTTTGGTGTAACAAATATATGATAATGTAAAAACATCATAACTAGCAACGCCCTGAACGTCCGTGAGCTCATAATACAAAAAAGAGTGGCTGATGATTTTCCTTGCCCAAAGCAAATCATTCCTCTCCGAATAACACCTGCCGCAGTTGCACGTCGTGCGTGCGTGCGTGCGTGTGCATGTGTTGCGCTGTGCGTGCGTGCGTGCGTGTGCATGTGTTGCGCTGTGCGTGCGTGCGCGCGTGCGTCTACATCATCGATTTCAACGGACGCCGAGCGAGAGCGGCACAGCCTTGCCACTGCTCTGAAGCCATGTTCCGCTCTGGCGCCGGAAACTCGCCGCGGTATCCGCCGCAGACCCAGCGTGGCGCCAACAGGAAGCCGCCCAATCAGCCGAGCCGGATACGCCTCCCCTCCCCCCCTCTGACCCGACGATGCCTCGCCGCGGCGGTCCTACGATCGCAGGGGTGTCGAAACGGCTTGCGTTGGCACTACAGGGGGGGGGTTAAAAAGTATGCATGCGTACATGTATGCCTGACGTATATATATATATATATATATATATATATATATATATATATATATATATATATATATATGTATGGATATATACATCACTGTACGTAATGTTTATATAAAACACTCGAGTACAAAGACAATGTTGAAACTGCTGTTAAAAATACCGTGGTTGCTATACCAGAGCCGCGGAGGGCGACATCCCTTCCATTTCTCGCAACACTTTGGCAATAATTTTATGGTAGGAAATCAAAAATTAGCTTGTTAGTATGCTTTCCGTAAACACAATTTCTTTGAGTTTTCTTCCGTAAGCAGCGATGCAATGGGATGAGTGCCAAGAATGCGTTATCAGCCACTTTTTATCAGGCGCGTTTGCGGTGAGGAAGAAAGGGAAACTTCGTTGAAATATTGTGCGAAGATGGCTCATACATATGGATGAATCAAGTACACGCCACGAACTATTTGTTTTTTGGGGGGGTTTATGCTTATGGACAGATACCCGGTCTCAAAGAGTGGTAGTAAGAACTCTGTC